TGATTTTGAGTTTTATTCCACATTGTTCTCCCACTCTATCCAGGATCTTCTACATAGATCCCCCTCTGAGTGGTTGAAGAAGTTGTATTTTAATTTCTTACTGCCATCTTATTTAAAGATGGACTGCCATGTTATAAATAACTGTTTCAGTGGTATTCCCAGTACTATATCTCTGTAGTAGTTCTGATGACGTACTTATTTTGATTTTGTCTGTGAAACAGAAAATTTGGGCTACTTTGAGAAAGAGTAAAGAGGTATTTATCCAGCAAATCTTTTTTGGAGGGAATAAAAATAGTGATTTAAAGTAGTTAGTGTTGTGGAGCTCTTAGTAAGATAATTCCTCTACAAAAATGAAGGTGAGATGATGAGCTATAACATTCCTCTTGCCTTATTTTAGCATTAAGTAAAACAAAGGCATTAACTAGAACCCTGCTAGGTAAACAAAGTTTATAAATCAGTCCCCTTATCCTTTTACCTTTAGGTCACATTGAAAGAAACAAGATTATCTTTAAAAAAAAGAAAAATACCCACTGCCATCGAGTCAATAATGACTCATAGTGACCCTATAGGACAGAGTAAAACTGCCCCAAAGGGTTTCCAAGGCTTTAAATCTGTACAGACGCAGACTGCTTCATCGTTCTCCTGCAGAGCGGCTGGTAGATTTGAACCACTGACCCTGTGGTTAGCAGCTAAATGCTTTAACCACTGTATCATCAGAGCGCCTAAAAAAAGAGAAAAATCAGTACTGTAAAATCTAATTAAAATATCCCTCAAGCACATTTTTAATATCATAATTAAGTGCCCATGCCATTTAGAGTAAAAATGATTGCATTTTTCCTTGAATGATAATTTTTTATTTCAATCAGAGTTTCTCCCTGAAAGGTAACTTTAATCATTTTCAGGCTGAATGTAACCTTTTAAAACAGTGATTAAACCTCTGCTGCTTGTGGTAATGAAAATATATGGGCTGCCTGGAGGTCTAGGTATGAGCTAAATAACTTGGCATATGCTGGATGCTTTAGGCCAAATTTCTGAAAGGTTTTGTATGAAATATACTCTGGATTCTTTCCAGCTATTTCTCGAAAGAGTTTGGAAACATCAAGATCTGGCACTCCAAAAGCTGCCCGAAGTATAGAGGCTAACTCCTGTTCTGTTATGCAACCGTCATTATCAAGATCAAAAAGCTTAAAAGACATTTTCAGAATCTTTTTAGTGTTGTCAGGATTGCATAGGACAGTCAGGCCTATCACATACTCTATGAAGTCTATGCTGCCATCATTATTCATGTCAAAGAGGGCAAAAAGTTGTCTCAGGGGCCTTGAAACTGGGAGTTTTAATAATCTTGCAAACTCTTCAATTCCTATCTTTCCTCCTTTGGTGGCAACTGCAATGGCTGCATATTCATCCAAACGTTGGTAAATGCTATCCCAATCTAACTTCAATTGCTAATCTTTGTAAATTCCACCAAACCAGCTTCCATAGGTAGTTGAAGGTGACCTGCAGAAATCATCAGTTTGCAGTCTTCGTAAGTGTGGTCTGTCACAGGCACTCCCAAAGCGTTTGCCATGTTGATGCGTACTGTATTGGCAAAAAGGATGGGATCTTGTTTTTCTTCATCATTTGGGGTATAAACAGGCATAAATTCAATTGTCACTCTGGTGTAGAGTTGACTCAGGGTCAACATAAACACCTGTAATGCTGAAAACCCCTGCCAGGTCCAGGTCACTGTGTGCACGGTGTTTGGGTACCTGAGCAGCACTGGCTGCACAGGAACACCTGGAAAGAAGGCCCCAAGTTTAAAAGTGACCAGACAGGAGCCATTAGTGCACACTCCTTCTGGGAAAATCAGGATCTGTGGCCATTTCCTTCTGGATGCCACACGCCTCAGGATTTCATTCCGGGTACTCTTCCTGGAATTAGGGTTGTCTCGGGTCACAAGTACTGGCTGCGTTGATCGTATGATTTTCCCAACCACTGGAACTTTCATGTTTCCTCTAGCCGCTACCACCGATGGTAAACCCGCCACAACACAGACGATTGAGTCAAAGAAAGAGGTGTGTGGCGCTATCACTAAGATGGGGGCCTCGGCTTGCTTTGCCTTTTTCCCTTTCACTTTAACCACGAACCCCATCGAAAAGAATGTTGCCTGACACAAGAACCTGAGAGCTGGTTGCGTCAGTTTTCTTCTCCATTTCGAGATGGGCTGCGCTGGTTGAGTAGGATGGCCAAGGGTGGCAAGTGTGGCCACCGGCCAGATGAAGATGAAGATGAAGATGATGCAGGACACCCTCACAGGCACCAGAACAGTCCCCAGGAGGATGGTGCAGGCCCAGTGCCACGCACTGATGCGTGTTTGCTGCACAAAGGGGTTGGTTACTGCTGGAGGGTATAAGGACTTGGTTCTCAATTGGATGTGCCTGTTTTCCCAAAACTCTGCCTCAGAGGCTGTTTCCATCATTCCCTCCATGGGCAACTTGGAGTCCTTGGTGAGGGAGTCGTGTAGTCCACATCTCAGGGTGCCCCGTGGCCTCTGAGGGCGGTGCCCGGAGCTCACCCCTCCCCCCCACCCCAGTGCTTTTTCTGTTCGCACACAATTAGAATTTTTACACGATTGTGGGTTAATAGGAAATGATGTATTATTACTTTTAAAATCAGAAAGAAAGACAACAACAGATGGCAAACGATGTAACAGGATAATTATAATCATTTCAACTGAAAAACTTTTTTTTTTTTTTCTCTCAAATGCCTTGCTTTTGACATACATGCTTAGTAGTTTCCAAGTCTGTGATCTTTCAAAAGCAGATAGAGACCTTTCTTTCAAGGCACCTCTGGGTGAGCTGAAGCTGCCAACATTTTCAGTTCGTAATCCAGTGCTTAATCCTGAAATACCCAACAAAAACAAACACGCTGTCATCCAGTTGCTGGGGACTCACAGTCCCCCTATAGAACAGAGTAGAACTGCTCATAAGGTTTCAAGGCTGTAAATAGTTACTGAAGCAGATTGCCTCATCTTTGTCCTACAGAGTGGCTGGTGACTTTGAACTGCTGAACTTTTGGTTATCAGCCAAATGCCTTAACCACTGTGCCACCAGAGCTCCTTCAATCCTGGAACAGATGAGTATTAACGGCAAGTTTAAAAAAAAAAAAATGTAAATGCTACTACCACTAAAGTTTACCTACTGTCCTGCTTTGGTAGCTGGTAAGATAAGATATATATACTCTCCCTACAAACTAATTTCTAAAGAAGAAGTAAAATCTTTTTATACTAAGAAGTGTAACTTATGGCACACTGGAGCCTGCATATATCTCTAACAAGCACCTTTTCCACATTCATTGGAAAAATTAGAGTAATATTCATTGCAATAGGTCAGAACCAGATGTAGCGTGTTTGAGTTATATTCTTAACGGTAGTCTACATGAACCAGTCATCATTCCAAACTGACATGAGTAACAACAATAACAAACCTTAAAATCACCTTTGTCCATAACAGGTTTTAGTTAAAAGAAGTCAGGATTACTTTGAGTGTCAATATGCAAAGTCAACAGCAAAGTGATCTGAGCAGCAAAGTGATCTGAAATGATGATGAGGGAAACAAAGTTCGTGTGAACCAGGCTTTCTTCTATACTTTGTAGCTTTTGTAACTTTCATAATGCTGTATATATTCCTATATTTACTAATTGCTAACTTAAGATCATTTTTTCCAAGACTTCAAATTTAGATTTTAAGTTTCTGAGATATTTTTCCATTTTTTGGAGCATGTCACGTGACCACTAGAATAAGAAGAGTAGTGTAGATACCAAAGCCTATTAAACAGAATGTGATCTAAGTGGAAAGATTATGGGCTTTACAACCAGGTTGATCTAGGTTAGGTCTGGCTTCAAACTTGTACTATGGGCCTTGGACAGGTTACTTATTAAGCCTCTTTTCACTTCTGTAAACTGATGACACTTCCTATCTGGCAATGTTGTGAGGCACAGGTATTAATATATGTATAGAATTGGGCTTTTATTTTAATACGTTACTAGGATACAACTTTATTTTGAATTATTTTATTTTTTATTAGCGAGGGAGACATTCCTTTCACCAATTTAGGACTTATGTGGGAACACAGTCATGTCTTGGCAATGTTATTGGTTGTTTTACACACCAAAGGAGAGCACCCCAAGAAAATGAATAGTATTCCCTTGAGTTGGTATCTTTTTCTATTCTGTAACTCTTTGCCCACTCTTATTTGTAAATTTATTTCCGCTCTTGAACCATTGTTTAATTTAATTAAATTCTGTATATGCTGCTTAAGGGAAAGTTCAGTGTCAACATGCCATCTACTTTTATACCCCATAATACGTAGAAGTGTGTCAGATATATTATTTACCTATTAAGCAAATGTTTGAGTGACTACAACATGCTAGATGCTAGGTACACATCACTTAATGAAGCCATAAAAAATTCCTGTCCTGTGGAGCTTATATTCTAGTGTACATAGTAAGTATAGTATTTTATTCTTATTGCATTGAGCAGGACAAAAGGACATTTTGATCCTTGTTCTAAATCTCTTACCAATTAAGCTGGAGAATTAAGACAAGTAATTTAATGGATATGCTTCCCTACTTTGCTATGGTTGATGAATTTTATTTATACATATATACATTATGTATATATAATACACATAATATACATACTATATATATATATATATATATATATATGTGTGTATACACACATATACACATAGGCATATGTATGGCAATCCACATCATTCCTTGGTTGATGTGGCAAGATGAGTCAGTTTTTAAAGCAGTTTAATCTTCCCAGTGTAAGTAGTATTTCATCTAGACATATTGATTTAGACATACTTGCTTTCAATTTAATAGATATAGTATAAATGCAAGAGATTTAGTAATAGAATCTTTTAATAGTTAAAAAATTGTAAAAAGAATATTTAAACAATAAAATGAAAAATTATACCATTGCAGGTTTGCTTTTTAATATGGCACAGCTACTCTTTAATATACATTTGGAAAAGGCACCATATGTAAACAGGGTAAAGAAAGCAATAAACCAAAATGGAGCCACTTTCCCCAACTTCATTTTTGTACAAGTGTATACATTTTAAGGCAGATGCTTTTGTGTGCAAAATACAACTGAAGAAAATCAACATTATATTACATGTTCACAAACTCAGATTTTTTTTTTCAATACCATTTTGTCAGTATAATTATTTACGACAGCATATTAAGACAGTTTTTCCCTAATAAAGCTTAAAGAAGTTAATGAACAACTTTTAGATATTAAACTTAGAGATTCCATTGCTGATCCTTCATAGAAGATATAGAAAATTCAATCTTTTTTTCTTGTTTCTTCTTTTAGAAATGTCCATATCAACTTGTTCACTATATCAGGTTGGTCTTGTTGAAGCCAATGACTGGCTTCTGACAAAATAGTCAGCCTGAAATAGTTTTTAACATAAATCTTTGTGACTTCAGCCATCTCAACCTCCATAAATGCATCTCTCTCTCCCCATAGTAGTAGTGTTGGAGTGGTCACCATGTGATGTTTGAGAGGCAAGCAGCTGTAAAAACAAAACACATGGGTTTGAGATTCATTGTAAACGTGAAAATAACCTTTTTCCATAATGCTTCATTTGGCCGTGCATTCTCAATAGAGACAATATCCCCCAAGGGGGTGAAAATTTGTTCTTGGGAGGTGAAAAAATCTTACTCTTTTTATACATAAAGCATGGATACACGTGTAGTACAGAAACAGAAACACAGCATATCTGTGATATTAAAATTTCATAAGATGAGAATGATTAGGAAAAACATGTCTAACAAGGCTCCTTCCAAACCAAAAACCAAACTCACTGCCATCGAGTTGGCTCTGACTCATAGCAACCCATTCTTGGGTTTCTGAGGTGATATCACTATGGAAGTAGATTGCCCAACCTTCCTTCCAAGGAGTGGCTGGTGGGTTTGAACCGCCAGCCTTCTGGTTAGCAGTCAAGTG